TGTGTTTCTTTACCCTCTTTTCTTCAATAACAATGAGCCCTTATGCTTCGTAACACTCTCCAAATCAAGTTAAGCATAGGGGAAATCTAAAGATAAATTAAACAAAACTAATTTAGACATGAATTAAAACAATCAAAATAGCAAAATTTATTAGTTTGCCTCCCAATAAGTGCTTTTGTTTAACGTCATTGGCTCGATATTGGTACCATTCATTCCTCATAACGATGATTTAGTTGTGTCAAGCTTGACACCCAAAGTGCACCTCAAAGCATTTCCTATATATGGCTTCTCAATGTCGGTCCCAATGGACATATCACTTTCACATAACTAGAGAAAACCCTTCCTCTAATCTTGAAAAAATGAAGAATCAAAAGTGACAATAGCTTGAATAAGGTCTACAAAACAGAAGTAATAATGGCAAGAAAAACTCAATTTTGTTAGCATCGTTATTGAACTCATTTGGAAGGACAAATTCAATAGTAGGCACATCAAAAATATTTTCTAAGTCCACTTTCTTAAAATCATTTTCTTGCTTGGTCGATTCATCAATAACTAAAATCTTGTTTGGCTCTTTATTATAAGTTGGCTCTATTCCAAAATCTTCAATAACTTGTTCTTCATCCAAGCACATCCTTTTCCTCACTTGTTGCACTTGAATGTTTTTTTGAAGTCATTTTTATTTTGAAGGGAAAGTCATTTGATGTTTGTGCTTCTACCTCACTTATTAATGTAGTCAATTAAAACACTTGAGTCTCTAAATTTCATAGGCTTACTCTTGTTTCTTATTGAAATTGTAAAGTTTCAATCATAAGAGATCTAGAGATATCCTTAAGAGAGATACCTAAATTTAAAGTAACTTATTATCTAGCTTGGAATGGGGGTTACATTTGATGATTTTTTTGACAATTGTCAATTGTATTGTCAATCACTTGATTCCTATAGTTAGTGCAAGGGTTGGTGTAGGGATTATATGGGTATTATGAATGTTCTAAAAGTCCCCTCATGGCATAATACACACTAATACGTTCTTCTTTAAGAATTAGGAAACTATTAGATGAATGCTCCATCATCGAACATATGCCATAATTATAGACTTGTTTCATATTTTATACGGCCATTTGACACATTAGAGTTGTTAGATTAGCAAGTCAGTTGCTCTAGAAGATAAGTTTAATTCTTTGAATCTCTCGGATTGTAGGTCATATTGAGAGCTAAACTATTGAGAATACCAAGTCATGTAAAAAAAAAACAATAACAAATAACTAGAATATCAAGCAACAATCAACTTAGTGCAATCTTCCTAGGCGCTTCATAGCCAACGATGCCAAAATTTGATAATGTGTCATGCGTCAACAAATTAGATATTTATATTGTTCTTATAAAGCTTTCAATCAAACTAATGTAATTAGGAAAAGTAAGGGACGAACCTATAGGGAAGGAGGCTTAATTGATAGTTATTTTCGACCGAGTGTTTTTATCGTGTAAGAGGGGGGTTTTGTGTTTGGAATTCTTAGAAAAAATTAAAATAAATTGAAATAAAAATGATAAAAAAAAAACTTAGTTGAACTTTAGTATCCACTTTTAGTTTGTTCGCCGATCATCAATTAAATAATTAACTTATCCTAAACATCAATATTCACCATAGGACAACAATATGTATGTTGTCCTCGGTCTTTGCTTACTTAGTCATTAATTGAATATATGATACCCGATTAATTCCCTAGCTACTGAATAACCTAGTAAGTGTTAGATAGATTTAATCCAATAATAATATTAATCGGAGAAAGACAGGTCAAGCTAAGCCACCTTTCTAAGTGATAGAGAAGATATAACCTAGTTCTATATTTTCTAAGAGAATGAACCAAAAATGTAAAAAATAATCATCAACTCCTAGTTAATACCACAAGCAAGTTTAAACAAACAATTACATGGACTTGAATACTTAGCTAACAATAAGTTAATATGATTAAACAATTAGCATGCATTTTAATCAATCTAATCACATAACTATAACCCAATCATACGGAAAATATAAAATACCCAAATAAGGTAAGTTTAGAAATAAAACCCGTAGTCTCATAGTGATTTAATCAAAAGCTTCAACTTGATTCAACCAATAATAGAGTTTAGTTGCTTATAAAGGTTTACAAAGAGAGAGTTTTCTATGAATGGTGACTGCCAAGAGTTGGTATGAGAGAGATAGAATGCTAAAGTGAAACCCTAACTTCACTATTTATAGCTAAAAGTAGGGTTATATCACACTTCTAGCTACCTATAAGTGCCACACGAATTGCTTAACTAAGGCACATGGCCATGTAGAATTTTTCCTTCATCCCGTGTGAAGACCTTACGTCCGTGTAGAATTTGCATTGCATCTTATGTCTCTAAATAATCAGCTTTAATGGACTTGGTATATGCATAAGTAGAGTTGTTTTTCTTCATGAAATTTGTAGCCATATTTCTTAGCTTTCTAAAACATTAATCCTTGCATTAATTAGATATCCACATCTTTAGTTATAAGCTAAAAATGACATAGACTTAATTTATCCGTCCGACCTTACGATTCCACTTTGCAATCGAATTCCTCTATGAAGAGACCTAGTTTGGACTGACATTCTTCATAAGACTTATAGATATTCCTCTTAGGTATTCCATAGGCTATCCTTGTATCAATTAGAGTTATGGAACTTCGTATATGAACTCCACAGACTAATCTGGATTCCAAATAGGGTTCGGATCGGTTTTCAAGACCGGAATATAAAATATCATTTAGAGGCTCAAGCGGTGTTGGATTTTGACCTACCTTATCATTCTAGAAAGATTGAGATGTCCTCTACAAATTCTTTAGGACTACTTCTTCCAATCCAACTTTAAGGCTTCGAAAAACCTATAAGAATTTAGAAGGTCTAAGTTAATCATACTAGAATTCTCTACGTTTTAAGCATCATTATTCTAAAATCCTAATTTATATCTTCCACATGAATATGAGCATAGATTATCATAATAAGACATAAAACATAGCAAATAAACTAAACATAAGGAGGATGAAGATGTAACATAATGTTCCTATCAGCAAACAAGTAGTCGAGAGAGAAAATAGATTAGGGGAAAAATCATAAAGGGAGGAAATAAGAGCGAGTTGCGTAACATGTTCGTTTGAAAACCCGGTACAATGGATGTATAGCTAGAGGATGTAAAGAAAGCTTGTAGAAAAGAAAGAAGTAGGTTTTCTTTAAAAAGAAAAAAACAAAGAATAGCAAGCAACATGAAATAATGGGCATGCATCAAGCGGCATCAAAACCAAAATCGAGAAAATGGAACTAAAGCATAGACGATTTTGACTAAACGAAAACATTATTTTGTAAAGAGAAAAAATAAAGGCAAAAAAGGTCAACATTTAATTTACAACCAAAGAGCACTAAAGAGAAAATAGATTTGGAGAAGAACATATGACAAAAGGAATGAAATAAAAGGAACCGGAAGATAGGAGGCAGCGAATCAACATCGAAACAAATAAAGTCGTTAGGGGAAATGCAATCAATAGGGAATAAACAAAAAAATCCGAGCACAAAAACAATGCAAGAATAGAAATAGAGAAGAGATACAACATATAACAAAAGATATACAATCGGAGCACAAAAAAATTTAAAAAAATCATATATAAAATGCATGCAACAAAACAAACACATAGGTGCAATGAATAAAACATTACAAACCATGATAAAGATAGGCATTAGAAAACCAACCACAATACGCAATAATAAAACAACAAATACACTAAAAATTGCAATAACCGACCAAAACCCCAAGAAAATGTTGAAAAAAAAAAAGACATGACAGTTGGTGTGGGTTAAGCGGTATAGAACAACAATGCCCAAAAAGAAAACCCAAAGCATAGACTCGCCCTCTCAAAAGAATCCATATTGTTTGCAAAAGAAGAGACAAAGCGAAAGAAGGTGAATGAAGCATACAAAAGCAAATAGCATGAGAGAGGAAATAGATAAGGAAAGGAAAAAAAAGAGGAAATAAGAATAGCTCCACATCAAAATAGCCAACAATGCACAATGCTCGAAATAGTAGAAAGAGTAGAACAAAAAGGCAATTGAATTGTTTACAAGCGAAAAGCATGAGAGAGCAAACAAATTTAGGGAAAAACCATAAAAGGAGGAAACAAAAATAGATACGTAGCATGTTCCTTTGAAAACCATATACAATGGATGCATAGAGGGAGGATGTAAAGAAAGCATGCATAAAAGAAAGAGGCTATTTTTTTATAAAAAAAAAAAGTAAAGAATAATAGGCAAGTAAGTAACGTGAAAAAATAGGTGTGCATCGAGTAGCATCTAAAACCAAAACTAGAAAAACGAAACTAAAGCATAGATAATTTCTCCTAAACAAATACATTATTTTGTAAAGACAAAAAAAAATGGAGGTAAAGAAGGTGAACATTAAATTTGCCGCCAAACAATTCTAAAGAGCAAATAGATTTCAAGAAGAACATATCACAAAAGGAATGCAATAAGAGGAACCATAGCACGGAAGGCGATAAGCAACTTCAAAACAAATAAAGTTGTTAGAGGGGAAATGCAATCAATAAGGAATGAACAAAGAAACCTGGCACAAAAATAATACAAAGATAGAAATAGTGAAGAGATGACAAATCTATTATAGTGGAAATGCAATCAATGAAGAACGAACAAAAAATCTCGACACAATTATAATGCAAGGAAAAAAGTAGTTAAGAGATGTCATTATCTAAAAAAAAAATCTACAATAGTAGTACAAAGGAATTTTGAAAATTATGCATAACATGTATGGAACAAAACAAACACATAGGTGTAACAAACAGAACACTATAAAGCTAGACAAATATATGAATTAGAAAATCAACTTTAGTGTAACAATAGAACAGACAAATGCACTAAAACTAGCAACAACAAAATAACACCCCAAGCAAACCTTAAAAAAAAAAATAAACTTGATTGTAGGTGTAGATTAAGCTATACAAAGTAGCAATGCTCAAAAAAACATGAGAGAGGGATACGGGGATAGAGGGAGAATGGCAATGAAGCATGCACAAGAAAATAACATGAGAGAGAAAATAGATAAAAAAGCAAAACATCGAATGGGAGGAAATAAGAATAGCTCCATAACGAACGAGCAACAATACACGAGTGTCCAAAATAATGAAAAAAGCAAAACAAAGAAGGCAACTCGTGTTGTTTGTAAGCAAATAGAATGAAAGAGCAAACATATCGAGTGAAAAAAATCATAAAGGGAGGAAATGAGAGAAGTTGTGCAACACGTTCATTTGAAAACCAAATACAATGGATGTACAAAGAGAGGATGTAAAGAAAGCATGCACAAACCACGGAGGTAGTTTTCATTTTTAGAAAAGAAAAAAAAAGAAAAAAACAAGAGGCAACAAGAAAAATGAAAAATGGATGTGCATATTGTCCAAGTAGCTAAAAGCTAAATTGGGAAAATGGAACCAAAGCATAGAGGATTTTCCCCAAAAAAAGACATTATTTTGCAAAGAGAAAAAATGGAGGCAAATAAGCTTAATAATTAATTTGCAACCAAATAGCACTAAAGAGCAAATAGATTTAGAGAAAAACATATCACAAAGGGATAAAGCAAGAGAAACCAAAGCATAGGAAGCATCAAGCAACATCGAAACAATGGGTCCGGACTAAGTAAAATCGAATAGCAAAATGGAGAAAATGGATTGAAAGCACGATTTTTTTGTAAAAGAACCCCATAATTTCTTCAAGAGAAGAGAAAAAGACAAAAAAAGGACAACAGAGTTTCATATGAAAACAACATAGGAGAGAAAAAAGATTAAGAAAAGAGAGCATCATAAAGGGGAGAAATAAGAACAGTACGCACAATATGTTTCTGAAAAATGTGATACAATAAATGTACAAAGAGAGGCTATAAAGAAGCATATATTTAGTGATGACATATATACTAGTCTATATTTAAAGATACAAAACAGAGCATATGAAAGCAACATCAAAACAAAAGAAAGCATGGGGTGTTCAAAATGTAAAGAAAGGATGGGCAAACCATGGAAATTGATTAAGAAAAGAGAAAGTAGAGCATAGGGAGCCAACAAACAAACCAAAAGAAGAGTAGACCAAAAACAATACAAACGAAGTTGCCATGTGGAAAACACGGTTAATAAGGAACAAACAAAGAATGGCATGAAAATGATGCATTCATAGAAGCTATGAAAAGAAGGCGAGCATCCAACAAATCATTCTACAACAACAAGATACAAAAAAGAAGGGAAAAAAGGAATATGCATAAGATGTGCCTAAAAAAGAAACACCGAGGTGTAAAAATAGAAAAGGCAAAGCACGGTAAACAAAGGCATGAGAAAACCAACCTCACTGCATAATAACATAACAACAACTATAGTTGAAATAGTAGCAAGAAACTAACACCCAAAACAAACCCCGAAAAACAAAGACAAATAAATAGCGGCCAAGTAAAAGGACCAAAAAAAGGCAAAACATAAGTCAAAAACGTATAAAACAAAATAAAAAATAAAGAGGAAAGAAATAAAAAGTAAAACAAACACATTATGGCTCGTAGTTCTACAAACCTTAGCTCTCAACCATGAGAAAAAGCTAATGAATATCTAAAGCCGAAAGGTCTACACTTTTCATAAACAAAGAGAAAAGTTGAAAAGGTTTACAAATTTTACAAATTTGAGCAAAATGATATGTTCTTATTTTTAAAGGTTTCCTAGGTTGACTCATATACATTTAATGCATCAATTTCGGAACGTACAATGATCCTTTAAAGGCAAGACTAGGCTCTTTTTTGAAAAATAGAAAACCGATCATATGAGGTAGATGAGCCTAAGAAAATAAACACTAAGGTACAACAAATAAAAGAGGCAAAGCAAGGCAAAGAAAGCCATAAGAAAACCAACCTTATTACACAATAATAAAACCATAACCGTAGTCAAAACAACTACAATAAACCAAAACCCAAAGCAAATCCCGAAAAATAAAGGCAAACAAATAGCAGCTAGCTAAGGTAATTCTTATAATGAACATAAACCAAACCAAAGAGAGAGAAACATGGAAAAAGAGAGAACAAAGAAAGGTGTTGTAAGGAAAAAACATCTAAACCATAGAAATAAATAAAAGTGCAACATCAAAGCCGGAGCAAAAACAAAACAACGAACCTTCTCTATAGAAGAAAAAGCAAGAAAGAATGAGGGATAAATAAAAAGTGGTGAGAAAAAAGTGCCTCTCAAAGATCCAACAAGTATATATATTTCCTATCAAAATAAAGAAGAATAAACAAGCAAGGGCAACATAAGGAAAAGGAAAGCGTCCCCAATAAGGTAATAAAAAAAGGTAAAATAAATTGAAAAAAGGACAAAGAAAAAGAAGGGAAAAAACATTTATCGAGAACTTAAAACTTGTCCGATTAAAATCCAACCACGAAAGTTGGGATAATAAGCATAAAAGGTGCGAGAGAAAAGGAATGTAACAAACCCCATCTTTATCCCCAATAGAAAGCAAATTGTGCAAGTACTCCAATGATACCAAGAGGGTCCAAATCGAAGCCACCACCTATGAAATAAAGTTGATTATGCAACACCTAATGACAATTGTTAATGTTAGTGCTCAAGATCCAACCATGTTTGGATGGGCCTATGTTAATATGTTATTGCATTATTTATTTTAATAAATAATAAAGAAGTCATTCTATTAATTCTTATGTTTACATGTTGGTAAATTCGGTAGAATTAGATAGAAGTTCTTATGATATGCATTTGCAATAGTGATTGATCAAAAAATGTGAGACAAACACTAATGTATATAAATGATATCATTAAATATCCCAAGTCGTAGCATCATCAAGAATGGACATTGACAATATGCGAGATAGACTTATGAGTGCTATGCTCATGCTATATGATAGTAATAGGAGATCTCACACCTATTGGCATGGTGATGCCAAAGCAATCACTTAGATGATTTATGTTAGAGAACATATCACCTGGATTTGACTCATCATAAGAACCTTTTTAGTTGTAGTCTATGGGAATCTCATACGAGATAGGTATAAATGGTCCTTAGACTTAAAGACATCACGGTTATCTCATTGGAGGACTTATACATTTTGACACTCATTTCGATGGACCCATTAATGGGTTGTATATGGACGATTCGTTGGGTGCACTAGGAATCCAATGGAGATAGGTGTATGACTAAGATAGGACATGTCATTCCTTGTATGCTAAAGGAGTTACCATATTGCACTTTGATAAATGTCCGCTCAAGAAATATGTGGCCACGGTAGGAGTACACCAATAGAGCATAGTTGGTTTACTCTAAGAGCTAAGGCATTTGGGAGTTGAAGAAAACTTGTGTGATCATAATCAAACAAGACTAATAACCAAGTTCGAGATCACACTATAATAAATTGACATGACGATTGAATTATATGGTAACCATTCTTGTAAAAGGTAATAATGGATTGACTAATCTTTCTAGAGAATTAAGTACTCATGATGCCTTGCTAAAGGCCAATCTTGATTTATGTATCAAGAGATAAAGGAGGAGTCTTTTATTCTTAATACATTGCCAACATATCTAGGAGCCTATTGAGTCACACTTATAAGTTCAAGTATTCACATTACAAATGAGAAGCAAAGATATTTGAAAAGGTTTCCAATTATGAAAGTTTCTTATTTTGGAAAGAGTTTCCAAAATGGAAAGTTTCCTAAAATGAAAAGTTTCCTAAAATAGAAAGTCTCCTAAAATGAAAAGTTTTCCATTTTAGAAATCGATTTCCTAATTTGGAAGCTAGTTTCAAATTTAAAAATAAAGAACATAAAAGGAAATGAGTCTCCTAATTTAGGTTAATGGGTATTTTGAAAAATTATTTCCTAATGTGGATCCCGTCAAAATAAATAAGAATATTTATTTGGATAGTCCAAATAAATTAATTGGGCTAAAATAATTTTGGTCCATTAGGTTTAATTAAAAGCCTTAAGATAATTTTGGTGAAAGGATAAACATCGACCTTATTGGATAAGGATGAATGTTTTAAAGATAAACATTAACCTTATTGGATAAGGTTGAATGTTTTAAAGATAATAATCAAGTAGTCCACATATAAAATAACTCCTTATCCTTGGAGGATAAGGAAGCAACAACCTAGAGTCCTTTATGGACTCATGGCCGTCCTCCTCCTTGTCCTTAGAGGACAAGGAAACTCTCCCCTATAAATAGGAGGAGATATACGGCATAAAGGCGGGATGACCTAAAAGAGTAAAAAAAAAAATAAGGGAAAAATTTGGCCAGCCCCTAAAATAATCTAGGGCATACGGCTAAGAGAGAAAAAAAAGGAGAAAATAGTTTTCTCCTAAAGCCCTACCAAGAAATACTCTTACCTTCTCCTTTAAGGTTGTCGCAAAGTTGCCTAGGGTTGATTTCTAAAGGAAATACTTAATCAAAAAAGGTGGAGCTAGCACCCCATCAATTTTGAGTGCTTCTTTGTGGATATTTGAATTGCATGGATCATCAATAAAGGCTAGACACTTAGACGGCTAATCAAAGAAAAGCAATTTAGATTTACACTGCAAGAGGTAATTCTTTACTTTTAGCTTATTATTCATGTATGTATGATTAGTAGATTCAATGGCATTATCTTGGGCTTTTAGATGGAAAAAAAATTATTTATTTCGGATCTTCATAGGATGCATGATCCTTCAACAATAACGAGTTTGCAACTTAAGCCACCATTTGCAAGACATATTTGACCTCTAGATGAGGTAGAAAACATAAAAGGGCCATCCGGTGCAGAGTGAACGAAACAAAATGAAAAGAAGGAGAACGAAATGGAAAAACAAAATATCAAGAAGAGAGAAAGAAGAAATAAGGAGTAAGAAAGAAGAAATAAGGAGCAAAATGTGAAAATGGGAACTAAATAAACAACAAACGTGACTAAGTGGCTCATGGCTGAAAAAACAAATCTCCCTGGATGAGAAAAAGATCAACGACAAACAAAGCAAGAGAGAGAAATGATCTACTACAAAGAGAGAGAGAGAGAGAGATGATTGGAAGAGAGTGGTCGAAAGAGAGGAACATTAAATGAGCCAAAAAAAAAAAAAATGAAATGCCAAGAGAGCCCACAAAAGAGATGCAACGAATAAAATTTATCAAGGACAAAAGAGACAACGACAAAAGCAACGAAATGTGGGAAAAAAAGAGAACAAAAAATAGCATTAAATGAGTTGACAAAGATGAGAATTAGGGGCGATATACCGATAAATTAAACAAAAGAAAAGAATGCAACGATGAGAAGAAGGGAAGGAGAAAGCAGGGTGAATAGCTAAAGGAACATGGACTCGAGTCTACATCCATAGTGGTTTAACTCATAGTGAACAATGTTTGAAATAGAACAGTAATGCTTCATTTTCTTTTAGTTTTTCTTGTTAATTACAAACACAAAATTTACTCCAAAAGAGAAGAAGGGACCACATAAAAAAAAAAAAAAAATTAAAGAGTACATAAAGAGGTAGAATTAAAAAAAAAATACATGAGCCACATTAATAAGATCTAAAGAATAAAAAGATGTTTGATGCGATTAACCTTAATAATGTTAGGAAATAAGAACAAACAAATTACTAAAGTTCAAAATTTTCAAATAACATAAATTAAATAATTAGATTCTATATATTAGATCATTTAAAATATTCCAACATATACTTTATGTATTATTAAATTTAAAATAAATGATAAATTAAATACATAATTTAGATAATTTGAGTTTTTTTGTAGAACACTCATGTTGATATCGTATCATCAAAATATTGTATCATAAAAATAATATAAATTATTATAAAAGTAATAATAATAGTTAAAACGTCGGAAAGAAATATAATAAAAAAGTGAGTTCATTTTATTTCTTCCCTTAATATATCTATTTATAAGTGAATATTACATAAAATTATAAATTATAAATTTAATGAGAAATAAATATATTTATGCATAATAATAGTAAATTGAATTACCTTCAAAAAAATATATGAATAGTTATTGAGAATAAAAATAATTATCAATATTCAATATAGACCTTCCCTATTTCATCACAATTTTTAATTTTTAATTATAATTATAATTTAATTTATTAATATTAAAGAAAAGAATTTTTTTATTATTATTTTGCTTTTAAATGCGTAGATAGACAAACAAATAAATAATATTAAGAATAAAAAAATTTCTTTTTAATTTTAGGGGAAAAAAATTTCTTGAAAGCTAGTAATTGTCCTGTCATAAAGATTCATACATGCAAGTATCATAGAGACTAAAAAGTAAAAACACAACAAAAACAACACAAACTCAGAAAATTCCCATGGAGTACGCAACAACAGCAGCAGCAGCAACATATCCTCAAATGCATCAAACTCAAAATCAAAATCCAAACCCTAATCCACCACAGCAACAGCAACAACCAATCTCTACTTCTTTATACTCTTCTTATTATTATCCTCCTGCCCCTCCTCTTCCCGCTGCTGATCCCCAAAACCAGCCCATTACTACTCAATTCTACGCCACTGACCCCATTACCACTCTTACACCTCCTGGGGTTGACTCCTACACTACATACCCACATCTTGCCTACTATTTTGATCCCAATTCTCACACTTGGGCTGCTAAGGAAGCTGTTAGGCAATATGGCTCTGATCCCGCTACCTTTCCTATCCCTGTTGTAAGTGGTTCGTCCTCTTGTTTTTTTTTTTTTTTTGGTTCGAGAAGATATTATTTCAGTTCTGCGTTCTTTTCGAATTATTGGGTCTTTAATAGGTTTTAAGGTTTGTGTTCTATACGTGAATTGGGGTTTTAGTATTTTTGTGGATATTTGTTTAAATTGCTGAGAAGACATGGCAAATGGGAATTTATATATATATATATATATATATATATATATATATATATATATATATATATATATATATATATATATATATATATATATATATATATATATATAATTTTGTAAACTAGAAAGGGTGTTTGGCTTCTGACATAATGTTGGAAACTAGAAGTCTAGAGTTGTGAAAATATTAAGGGCAACCAAATTCATTGCAAGAGAAAGCTTTAATTTTTATTTGTTTCCTATTTTTTTTTTTTTTTCAGTATTGGTATTGAATGTGCAATTTGAAGCATTGGTATGATTTGATAATGAATGCATTAGAGGGAGAAATCAAGGTATTGTTGAAAAATTGATTGAGTTTGAGAAATGGCGTTTTAATTTCTTCTGGATTATAATGATATTGTTGTATTCAAAGAAAACCTAGGTTGGAAAATTATTCGCACCTTCTGAAGGTGATGCTTGTTGAGGCATTGGAAAGTCTGGGTAACAAGCTTTTAGTTGGAGGGCTTCTCTTTTTAAACAAACTTTTTCACTAACCCTTGACTTGACCCTGCAAGCTTGGGTATGGAGCATTTATAGATCCATGAGCTTTTTAATGCCAAATGTTTGGTAAACACTGGTTTCTAAGGAAGTTCAGTGAAGAGGATTTTCAAGCCCTGTAAAATATAGGGCTAGTGATAAGTTCCATATGGATGCTGCGTGAAATATCCTTTGAACTATCCTGCTACTAGCGGATTGTCTCTTTGTGGATCCAAGATTAAGAGTTTGTTTTCGAAGTGATTTTGTCATGGAATACTCCATGCATGTCAAGGTAAAAATAGCTTTTATACAACACATGTTCCTCCATTACTTAGAGTTATATTGTCCAAATACCAGACCTTTTCAGTTCACTGTTATTGCCTTTTTCTTTTTCTTTTGGTAGCTTAATGTACACTTAGAATGGCATTGTAATATGCCTTTCACGTTCAACTTTCTTTAAAAAATTTGTTTGTATATGTGAATGTTATAGAATGCCACGTAAATGTCTCATAATTAATGGTCATTCCACATATATATCCTGAAGAAACTACTTCTAACTCCAAACATCCAAACGGTGAAGCCATAAATTATGCACCATGCCTTGTGTATCAAACTGTTTACTTCGAAACAAAAGGAATTAATAAAACTTTCCTTACTAAATGACGTGGAAGCTTGTGATTGGTGTTTTATTAATCCTTCAATTTCATAGTCAAAATCATATCACTAAATGTGATAATATCCACTTTCCATGATTTGAAAATCTTTCTCACATAAGAAATGTCATGTCATTTAGTAAACAAGTCTTAGGAAAATGTTTAAATACTCTTAGCACTAAACTAAATTAACTGTAAAAGAAAGGGGTTGGAGATCATATTGCTTGCCACAACAGTTAACTTTAGCTATGTTAGTCAGGTTACACATATTGAATATACTATGGTTTTGGTATACCATTCATTGAAATCGTTTTCTGTTTTGGTGTTGTTTGGCATCTGTTACTTTGTTAGTGGGAATTATTTTTACTCATGTAGGTAGTGTATTGTAAAGGACCATTTAATTCAATTACTTTCAATGCTAAAGTTGCAAAGGAACTACATGTTGCTGATGTTGTTACTCTTCCAGTTATATTAATATTAAGGAGTAATGTTTAGGGTGTGTACATGTCGAAATTGAGGGCTAGACTGGCGGCTGTTGAGCACCTTGACGGGATACTCAGATGTAAATCCCTAGTTTCTCTTAGTGAAAAGGGATGAAGTTATCTCTGTCGTATCTACTTATGCATTTGCTTGTTATGTAAGTTGGTTTCTAATCTAACCTTCTGGTCAAAATTTCCTGCCAATTCATCAAAAATTAATCTTCATCTTAGTAGATATAGATCACTTGTGCCAAAGAATAAAAACAATTTTGTCAAATCACATATCATGTGCAAATCACATGCTTCATTTGGCTGGACATTTTAACTAAAAGGATAAATTAGAAACCAGCTCAAATAATAGGTACTTATTAGAGGTGTTTTTGGATTTAGGGAAAAATTAAAAATTTGGCCTATTATGTAAGGATAGGTGAGGGTATTAACCCTTATGTACTCTTGACTATATCTTAACTCCTCACAAACTAATGTCTCCATTATGTGTGCAGAGCATCCCAATAACTCCAAATGGCACAGAACAGTTGGCCATTGCACATCCAGACCCCACTTCATGGGCCAATCTTACGTTTCAGGCTCAAGGAAATAGTAATTGGAAGAAGCACCCAAAGAAAACACTGCAAAAGAAAACAAAAGTTTCTCAATCTGCATATTGTGAAGTTTGTAAGGTGGACTGCAACAGCAAGGATGTACTTGACCAGCATAAATTAGGAAAGAAGCACAAGAAAAACGTGGAGAAATTACAAGCAGCTGCTGCTGGCTACAGTGTCTCAGCAGGATCAAGTAATCTAGTTACTGGGCGACAAGAAAACCCCAGTAAGAGTGAAAATCGAAATGTTCAAACGAGTAAGAAGAAGGCATCTGAACTGTTGGAAGATTTGGACACGAAGAGAAGAAAAATTCTTGAAGGCGGTGCAGCAGCAGAGGCAGTCAGGGCATGTTCAATTTGTAATGTGGTGTGCAACAGTGAGACAGTGTTCAATTCTCATCTTGCTGGACAAAAGCATGCTGCTATGCTGAAAAAGCTTGCAGCTGGAATAAGAGTGGCCACTGCTACATGAATGTAAGCTAGTCGGAATGAAAGATTGGACACACCTAGTACTTTCCTTTTGGTTGGCTTTGTGGTATATTCTTGTTCTCATTAACAGATGTAACCTTTTTGCTTATTCTGTTAGAGAATCACCTCCACAGGGAAATGTTTTTGACAACACCGTGGGAAGACTTGGCATTCATCATCTTTAGGACTTTTGAGTAGCATTGCTGACTTCACTAGGCATAATATTTTTTTCCCAGATGTTTGGATGTTCATCTCTTAGGAAAGCACGAGCTAATAGTATTCTTAGAAGCACACAACCATTCTAACAATTTTGTCCTTTGAACTGACTGGTTTTGAAATGCAATGTATTTATCAAATTGAAGGACCTGTAATTCTTGTTAAAAGTTGCAAACACCTTCTCTATTCTAGATTGTCCTTTTCAATGCCAAGGGTGGGATGTTGTTGTAGATAGTTGCAATGGTATTGTGTTACGGCTCAGAAATGAATATCCATATTTATCTCACTCTTTTCCATAAGCCTTCTGTACACCACCAATATAGAAAAGGACTTTGTTTCAGACCACCACCCTTGGCCTTGAGCAGCACTAGAAGTTTTCTGCATCTGCACCACTATTACTATGGTCATCAGCACTCTTCCGAGAAGAGAATTCATAATGGAGGTTCATTAGAAAAAAAGTTAAAAGAGTTTTAGGATTGAAAGCTGGCAAGAGAGTCTAGTACTTCGGCGCTCAAAGTGACTGCCACAGTCAGTGTAATGGCTAAATTTGCATATTTATGGCAACCATTCATAAAAATGAGGTTGACGATTGGAAAAGCCTGCAGAGTATATATATAGTAAGTTGGTGAGTTGGTGACAGTATTTGGTGGGACTTTGTCAGATCATATCCAGGGTATAGAAAATCACTTGTAGATATATTATCTCAACAAAAATCTACTAGTGAGACTTAAATTCGAAACCTTACTTGGAATTGTTCTTTTTTGGTCATCTATACCAATCATCTTGATGGTAAATATAAACAATGAATTTGTCACGTAAATATGTTATTACACATTCGGTTTAAAGACATTGAGCATTGCTGAAAGACACATGAATGCATACTATCACAACCATATCTATTTCGAAATCAAACTTCAACATGTCATTTTTTCAACAAGTCAAGTGACAGTGACAGTACTAAAACTTGAGAAATCAATCCCTAATTACAGCTGTGGTACTGGAGAATGGAGGAATCATATAATACGTGAAATCGAAAAATTATTAAGTATTTGGAGAATTGTAATTGTTGGCACATATAAATTTAAAAACCACTTGTCGATTGGAATCAATATGTATTTACGCACTAAAACGTTGCATTTTAATCAAAATGATGTATTTTCGGGATCTTAAGTAAAGCTGATTCATTTAGTTTCACAAACCAACCGATATCGACAAACGAGAGGTTAAGATAAAACTTGATAATCGTTCATGCTCAAATTTGAAACTCCGGACGAGTTATCGATCAACAAACTGTTTAAAAGAAAAGATGAAAAGAGAGAAGAGGACAACAAAATTTCACTAAAAATTATTTTTATCTAGCTTTCTTTAGAATAGTTTCACATTCCTACAAGTTAGATCTATAGTATTTGTCTTTCTTTTCAATAGTTTAGAAGTTTCAATTTTAATTGTAACCGAATGGCTTCAATGTCATCAAGAATTATTGATGTAAGTATCATATCTTCCAATTTATAATATTTATATCTTAGTTATTTTCATTCAATGTTGTTTCTTTCGATTACCAACATTCTTGTTTATTTTATTTAATTACTCAAATCGAACCACCACGGAAAAGTCCTAGTGGCGTACTAGGCGACATTGAGCCCTTTTTATTTCCTCGTGAAAGACTTGGTTACAAATTAAAATGTCGATCTACTTCACATTTAAGACCAAATTCGATGAGCGAGTAATAAGTTTTGGCGACAACGGTGGGAGATCAATGTCAAAACGTGATGCTACTAGAAGTATGACGAAACGTCTAACCTCCGATGAAGAAACGTCTAACCTCCGGAGAGGACCAAATCGATGAAGCACAACCATTTTTTGTCGAAGGAATGGTCTAGGTTTTTAAAGGTGTACCTCTTAAAAAAACGAAAACATAGGAAACCACACTAGTGGATAGACTATAGATAATCGGGAGGAATTACCCGAAGAAGCGACAAATAAAAGCCATAATAATGGCCACAACAAGTTTAGTATCGAAGTCGAGAACCTATGAATTCGGAAGGGAGCGATACCTCTACCAATAGAGAACAAGGCATTATGATGAAAGAACCAAACTCGAGCATTTGACAAATGTTGTTGAAACAAACCGAAAAACTACTCAACAAAATCTATGATCCAATAATGGACATAGGTAGTCAAATAAATCGACACTTACGAGTTGGTGTCAAATCGGCTTGAGGAAGATATCAACGGAATAAAGACTTCCATACTTGAATCATCACAAAGAACATCAATATGGCTAATAACCACATTGTCGAAATAATAGAATGTATGCGTCATCATAGTGACAGAGTGATTACATATATGAATCACTTGTTCGGTGAAACTATTAGCCCATTAGCAAGACAAATGGCCAAAGAAGTGGAAATTATAGTCGAACTAAGGTTTGACACAACTGCAAGTGCCACTCGACTAATGAGGGAAGATGTTAAACGCTTGGTAGTTCGACGAAGGAAAAGGTAAAGAATCGATTGAAGATAGGCATAGAGTATCGCCCACCATGATAACAAATATTCCTCTAGGATACCCACCTATTGTTTCCAACGGAACATTTGATAGCGAGGACTAGTCAAGATCCATCACAGAATATGTATGGGCAAACTTATTATGGCCAAATTAATGGTTATCCTCCTCATCCACCTTCATATCCACCCTAAGTTCCTCTTGTCGGCCAAACTAATGGCTATCTACCTCATGCACCTCTTGTTAGCCAAACTAATGGCTATTCTCCTCATCACGAGTATTCGACAATAGGAGTGGTCAAGATCCATCACAGAGTATGTATGGGCAAACTTAGTATGGCCAAATTAATGGTTATCCTCCTCATCCATCTTCATATCCACCCTAAGTTCCTCTTGTTGGCCAAACTAATGGCTATCTATCCTATGCACCTTTTGTTAGCCAAACTAATGGATATTCTCCTCATCACAAAGTATTCGACGGTAGGAATGGTCAAGATCCATCGTAAAGTATGTATGGGCAAACTTATTATGGCCAAATTAATGGTTATCCTCCTCATCCACCTTCATATCCACCCTCGGTTCCTCCTGTCGGCCAAACTAATGGCTATCTACCCCATGAACCTTTTTTTAACCAAACTAATGGCTATTCTCCTCGGATACCCCCGTTAACCAAAATAATGGCTATCCATCTCAAATACCCCTTGTTAACCAAGCTCTAGTTACCCTACTACAACACAATATTATGGCCCTATTCCAAATATTCTCCTAAGACATGTAAATAATTTTCCATCGCAGAATGTGCCAAACATGGCCACGGCGATAGGAAATAGTTCGACCCCACAACTCGGTCTTGAAAATGCATATGGGGATATGAATTAAGAAGCATTAGCCAATATGATTGAAAGAATGTATGGGGATATGAATCAAGAAGCATTAGCCAACATGATTGAAAGAATGTATGGGCTTTGTATGTAGAGGGTTAATCGACCCATTTATAGGAAGCCATATCCCGATTACGGTTGTTTCCATCCCGGGAATCTCGGTGACGATAGGCTCGGGTTCCTCTATGCATTTCTATGTTGACTCACTGGACGTCTCGCTAGGGGTCATCTCGATAGGATTCAAGTTGTAATGGTTCTCCAAAGGGCATCTCCGGCCCGAGGGGTAAAAGCCAAAACACCCTAATTAGTATACAAAATCAAAGAAAAAAATAATCAATTCGACATTGAAAGGATTATTACCTATACTAGATATGTTAGGATGTTAGGATTTCCCTCTAAAAGAGAAGTTAATTTAGAATCGACCACTTGACAAAACCATCAAACAATGTGAGTTGCATTGAAAATCTCACTATAAATAAGGGGAATGCTTAAAGAAACATACTTGGCCTACTTTAGGCCTAGTTGGACCACTTGATTGAAAAAATAACTTGAATTCAAAAACCATAGACTTGGGTTTCGAAGTCCGGCCAAGAATCTCTACAAGAGGAGGGGTTCGTCAAAATTCCCTCTTCGATCTTCTCAATCGCATAAGAATACATAATAAAAACCAATGTCGAGGTAAGATAACGATGGCGAGATAAAAAGTTAAGGAAAATTCTTATTGCTTTACGTAGAGTCGTCTCTTCTTGTTCTTCTAGCGAAAAACCTTTAGAGTACGGGATGATTGTCTACGAAGGTTGAACATTTAATTATTTGTCCTTGTGGAAATCTATAGTTCCTGTAGATTCAATAGTTGTAAGATCTATCAATCTAGTAGGCCGAGAGGTGAGTGCTACAATTATAAGTTTACCAAGCCCAATTAAGGATCGTTCCCCTTTAGAAGAGAAAGAGGAAGAAGATGGAGGTTACGGCATGGGAAGGATATCCCTAATAACATGACCTATTGAGCCAAGAGCCCGGATGCATTTATAGTAATCTTTTTTGAGGTCTATGCAATTATTCGATTAGCTCATTTGAAGATGAGTTTTTTGAGGAAGGACTAGGAAGAATGAACCTCCTTTTCCTTTGATCTTGTTTCTTTGGTAAAGCTCGTCAATAGACAAAATCGGAGAAAATCGGTATTCTTTCAAACTTAATAATAAAAGAAAAATAAGAGGAAACCTACCGGCTTACGTAGGTAATCTGTTTTTAACTAGTGTCGATCTCATCCGAGTTGATATATCGGTAATTGTCTAGAAAAATTTCTTTTAACATGGAGGAGGAAAATTATTACCCCATAACGTCAACCACATTGCAATGAAAATTGAAGTCACTCCAATATTTGGGAGATAGCTATGTAGGTTTTGAGTATTGGCAAATACCCTAGACTCGTTCTTAGCAAGTTGTTCCGGAAAGTTCTTGATGTCTTCTCTCGTTTTCCAAGGTTGATTTATGGTTGTAAACAATGAAATCACCATTGTTTGAATCAACTCAAATTGTTGAGCACAAAGATTTAGGGTCTAGGCTTCGAGCAAAGATTGAATCCTCTAGGGAGTAAGTCAAGTCTCGGCTTAGCAAGATTGAACTCCGGACATATCGCTCGCCCTGTATAAAACTACACCTTACAAAGTAATTTGTTTGAGCGAAACCACAATGGCCTATAACTCGTGAGTATGGAATGGCATCCGGTCATCCAATGTTACTCGGTTGCGGTCCGGATTGAGAATGTGCTTCATGACTTTGAAGAGAGTAGAGGGTTGACACGGTACAATATGAAGCGAGTGAATGGCCATAACTCTCTAGCTCGTTATAGACTAAGTGAGATCTACCCAAAGCTAGGAAATAAAATTCACCCCACATCCGGATGAACCAAAGAGGGCGGGATAAAGTTTTAAATCCGTTGATCGACGCATCATAAAGCCCTACGTATGCACACGCGAGGAGGATTAAACCCATAGCCATTAGTTTAGTCCCATCGAATGCGACCGGATTGATAACCCAAAGCAAGAATACTTTGATTGGCTCATTCAATTTGGAGCCTACAATATACTTGTAAATCCACGACAAGTAAAAATCGATCTCTTCATGATGGGATATCATTTTCCCACCCCCACATCAATCGACCAAGTGACCATACACTCGTTGGAAGCCTATTTTCTTGGACCTTGAGGTTTGCATTGTTCACTCTAAAAGTCAAAGATAGGCTAGAAGGATACGAGCTAGTAATTCCCATGACATCTAGCAAAGTCATCGATATATAGCCTTTTGGGAACTAGAATTTGTTGATATAGGGATTCTAGAAAGTGATTAAAGTCATAACCAAGCTAGGTTTAAGGAAATATGAGTGAGTCGATAGCATAATGGCTTCACGGATCCCATTCTTCGCCCATTTACGGCCTAACTAAGGAAGAAGTCTCTTATTCACCCAAATCTCATACTTGGCATCCGATTTTGGCCAAATCGTTGGAAATGCTTTGGCGATACGGGTCTAATTTTGGAGGATGGAATAGGATGTGGGTTCGAAAATTATACCAACATTAGTTGTTCTAATATAAGTTACGTCAATCATCTCCGACGGAGGCACTTACATTAGCATTGATCTGTAGGCCTTAGGGTTGAATAAGGACTCATCCTAAGGTTTTTCTTAAACCTAACTAGGACATCGACGACTTTATTATCGGTGATAGTCTTGAGGAGACGAGTGTCGACCGTATTAGGTTGAACAAAAAACTCTCATAATTTGTGGTAATTGGTTAAAGGAGGTACTTTAGTTCAAACGAGTTTCTTGGAAGATGTTGGGTTTCTTTTTGGGGCCATTTTTAATGGAATGAAAAGGAATTTCAAAACGAAGAAGGTGTTTGACAAAAAGTAGGAAGAGTTTTTTGGAAAATTTTGCAAAAATAAAGAGAATCATGAAAAAGTTCAAAATTATAAAGTCGACCTAATTTAAATTGAATACATTCAAGAGTCACAATGATTTCACTTTTGAACTCAACGGTTCGGATTTAGCGAAATGAAACGTCGGATTATTGCATAAAGTAGCCACCTTGGGAAAGATAGGACTTCAAACTATCTCATCATGTCTTATAAGCATTTAATGATCCGTTCGTTAGAGGAAGACTCATCGTTTCATCTCTAAAGGACTAAAAGGGAGGTATGTGTTGGCATACATAAATTTAAAAGCCACGTGTCGATTAAAATCAATGTGTGTTTACGCATTAAAGCGTTGTATTTTAATCAAAATTATGCGTTTTTAGGATCTTAAGTAAAATGATGCGTTTGGTTTCACAAACCAACCGATATTGACAAACGAGAGGTTAAGATAAAACCTAATAACCGTTCATGCTCAAATTTGAAACTCTAGACGGTTACTTATTAGCAAACTGTTTAAAAGAAAGAAGATGAAGAGAGAGAAGAGGACGATAAGATTTCACTAAAAATTATTTTTATCCAGACTTTCTTTAAAATAGTTTCACATTCTTGCAAGTTAGATCTATAGTATTTGTCTTTCTTTCCGGTAGTTTACAAGTTTTAATTTTAATTGTGACCGAATGATTTCAATATCATCAAGAATTGTTGATATAAGTATTGTATATTTAGATTTATAATATTTATATCTCGGTTATTTCATTGAATATTGTTTCTTTCGATTGTCAACATTTCTATTTATTTTATTTAATTACTCAAATCGAACTATTATGAAAAAGTCTTAATGACATACTAGATAGTATTGAACCCTTTTATTTCTTTACAAAAGACTTGATTACAAATTAAAGTATTGATCTATTTCGTATCTAAGACCAAATTCGATGAACAACAATGGTAAAACTTATTTTTACGAAAATATGGTACAACCAGGGGATGAGAAATAAAATTTTCACGTGCACATGGAAAGTCATTTTATTACTCCTACTGTTTTGGACATGAGTTATGCTGTGATACGATCCTGATTTCTGTTCTGCTCAAACTCTCTCCAAAACAGAACCATGAGAGGATTTCTTGCCCCCTTGAAATCCTCTCGCTCTTCTTCTGTCTTTAACCACTTCCGGAAAGTCATTAAATTTCCTTATTCTTCTCAAACCAATCAGTCTTTTCAACAAAGAACTTTCTTCAAATCAAACAACAGAGATACCACCCTCGTATGCAATCACAAGAGATTCGAAGAAACCATTCATATTTTCTGCCAACAAAACCGTTTAAAAGAAGCATTACAAATTCTCCAACAAATCGACAAACCCTCTGTTTCTATTTACTCAACTCTTATTCAATCTTGCCTTCGAAGTCGTGCTCTCCAACAAGGAAAAGTAGTCCACCAGCACATTAAACTATCTGGGTTTGTACCCGGCTTGTTCATTTTGAATCGGCTTCTTGAAATGTATGCGAAATGTGATAGTCTGGTGGATGCGCAGAATTTGTTTGATGAAATGCCTGACAGGGATTTGTGTTCATGGAATGTTTTGATTTCCGGGTATGCTAAAATGGGTTTACTCCAACAAGCAAAAAATCTGTTTGATAAAATGCCTGACCGAGACAACTTTTCTTGGACCGCTATGATTTCTGGGTATGTGCGTCACGAGAGGCCTAACGAGGCTTTAGAGTTGTTTAGAATGATGAAGAGACTTGATAATTCCAAGTCGAATAAGTTTACAGTTTCCAGTGTTCTTGCCGCTGCGGCAGCTGTCCCATGTTTGAGGATTGGGAAAGAGATTCATGGTTATATTATGAGAACCGGGTTGGATTCTGACGAGGTGGTTTGGTCCGCATTGTCTGATATGTATGGGAAATGTGGGAGCATAGAGGAAGCGAGGCACATTTTTGACAAGATGATGGATAGAGATATTGTTACTTGGACGACAATGATTGATAGGTACTTTCAGGATGGAAAGAGAAAAGAGGGATTTGATTTGTTTGCAGACTTACTGAGGTCCAGGATTAAGCCTAATGAGTTTACTTTCGCCGGGGTTTTAAATGCTTGTGCTGATCAGAGTTCAGAGGAGCTTGGTAAGAAGTTTCATGGGTACATGACTAGAGTTGGGTTGGACCCATTCCCCTTCGCGGCAAGTGCTCTTGTTCACATGTATTCTAAGTGTGGAAATACGGTGAGCGCAGAAAGGGTGTTTAAAAGGATGCCCCGGCCAGATTTGGTTTCGTGGACTTCATTGATTGCTGGGTTTGCTCAGAATGGCCAACCTGATGAGGCTCTTTGGTATTTTGAGTTGTTAATAAAGTCAGGGACACAGCCCGACCACATAACTTTTGTTGGTGTTCTTTCTGCTTGTGCTCATGCTGGATTAGTTGATAAAGGACTTGAATATTTTCACTCAATAATTGAGCAATATGGGTTAACTCATACTGCTGATCATTATGCTTGTATAATTGATCTACTGGCCCGATCTGGTCGATTCAAAGAGGCTGAGAATATCATAAATAAAATGTCAGTGAAGCCTGATAAGTTTCTCTGGGCTTCCTTGCTTGGTGGTTGTAGAATTCATGGAAATCTTAAACTGGCGGAAAGGGCAGCAGAAGCGTTATTTGAGATTGAGTGTGAAAATCCTGCTACTTATGTTACACTGGCCAACATATATGCCACTGCTGGTATGTGGACTGAAGTAGCAAAGATCAGAAAGACTATGGATGAGCGAGGAGTGGTAAAGAAACCAGGTTTAAGTTGGATTGAGATTAAGAGGGAGGTACATGTATTTTTAGCAGGAGATAATTCACATCCAAAATCCAAAGAAATAAATGAGTTTTTGGGGAAGCTTTCCAAAAAGATGAAGGAAGAAGGGTTTGTTCCTGACACAAAGCTTGTGTTGCATGATGTGGAGGAGGAACAGAAGGAGCAAAACCTCTCTTACCACAGTGAGAAGGTTGCAGTTGCTTTTGGAATTATTTCAACTCCAGAAGGAACACCAATCAAAGTTTTTAAGAATTTAAGAACTTGTGTAGACTGCCACAATGCATTTAAATTTATCTCAAAGATCGCAAATAGAAAAATAATTGTGAGGGATTCGAATCGGTTCCATTATTTTGAGGACGGAAGCTGTTCTTGTAGAGACTATTGGTGATTTAAAACTAACTACAAGTCGATCAAGCAATTTGGCAGACTAAAAAAAGACCAAGAGGAGTACAACTTCTGTCTTGCAGGCCAATCTTCACATAACCATCTGGTTAAATGAATTCTAAATTGGAACTTCATGTTGTTGTGGTTTGATTTTATTGGATGAGTGCAAGAAATTACCATATGCCTTACTACTGTTACATCTGCCAAATTGGAGTTACATGTGGCAATATGTCTTGTGAAAAAAATATCCAGGTGATTTTTACCACATTTTAGTTTATATGTTCCTCAATTGATGCTTTTGTCTGACTTTTTTATTATTGTGATTGCAACCTTTGCCAGATGAAGCTAATTCATTTTGTACAGTAATCATATAACTGGAAGTTAGTTTCTGGTTGGGCTGGATATTTGATGTAGGATATGAAAGCATGTCTGTGGTTTTGCGGTAGGAAAAAGGTGCAGCTCATTGCTCAAGGATGTTGCACAGCCAAGTCTTTTGTTGAAAACAAGCATTGAGATTAATAAAACTTGTACCACATGGCTTTTTTGACTTATGAACCAGAGTGTATCACTGTCTTGCTGAGTGAGTTGTTCCCATAATCCTGATTCAGTTAATTGAAACTTCTAATTTGGGGATATCTTCAATCAAGCATATAAACAACATTAGCAAGAAGAGCTTTTAAAAGAACCAAACAATTCTGAAGATTTATGAATATTGTATTATGGTGGGGTTATGCTTTATTAACGCCATGACCTGCTGAAACTTTATTTTGATAGCATCACGCCCATTTTTAGTTGTCATTTGTGTTATTCTTTGATGAATTTTAGTTTTTATACATTTATAAGCATCACTTGTGTGGAATGGTTATGCAATACTATAACTGATTATTGGCAAACCATTTCTTCAGGGGCGTCAGTGATATTCCAGCCTTAGCAATGGAGGCTGGTTTGCCTGATGGTGTCTTAGATGTCAGTTATGGAACCAATGTAATATTTGTTTCTCAGGAATGCTTTGATTCCTTATCATTTGCTTTATCGTAATAAATTTTGTGGAGGGATCAATGGAATGTCATGTCACCCAATACGTTACTGTACACTGAATGCCTTTTTTGGTGCCCTTTCTGGTTTTCTTGGCAATTAGAATTTCCTGCCCACTGTGCTTAAGTGAGAATATTACCCAACAGGCCCCAACATCAAATGCCTTCCCCTGCTCCTACCCATTTCTAGATGGTGTTCCTAGGGATGGACCCTTGTTTCATAGAATTATTTTTGCTGTTGGATGAGTTGGTTTGCTTTAAATTGAGAAATTGGCAGGCTTTGGAGAAAACGAGAACCGAACATGGTTTTGGGTGGGATTGGGTTTAGGGTAGCATTTATAAGGCATTAAAGCTGATTAGTTAATTCTTCTTCATCTAAATAAATTTGTGCAGGATATTGCCAATTACATATGTGGAGGCGATGATGTAAAGGCTATATCCTTCGTTGGTTCAGATGTGGTAAGTTATTTTCGGATAAAATTGCAAATTGCTCACATTTGTATTTATGGATCAATGGACTGTTGTCATAACCCAAAAATTTCACATTTTTTTGTTTATTTTACTTGTTCTTTGCTTTTATTTTATTTTACTTTTTTTAATTTACTACAAAAAAGAAAAAAAATGGAAAAAGAACAAAAATACAAAAAATTAGGGGATATTAAAGCCAAGGGTGCAATTGAACTAAATGTAAAGGTAATTGAAGTAATTAGGGACTCAATTGATACAATTGAATTTATAAAGACTAAAATTGCATAACAAAAGGATCCAATTGATAAAATCCAATTCACAAAGGATCAAAATTGCATTGAAAAGGAGATGATTCAAGGCGATTGAATTGTGGAGGGACCAAAGTGAAATTTGGAAACAAAAACCAAGACCAATCAATTCAATTTTCTCTGCAAATTCATTCCAACATTCAACAATTAATTTTGAGATTTGTTGAATCCTTGAGTTTTGGCTATAGATTTGAATTCGAATTACTGAAGATTTTTGCAACAAACCCATGCTGCCATTGGCAGCAGCCCATGTTGCTATTTTTGCAGCAGACTCCCCCTCTCCCCTCACTGATTAATGTAGATGTTAGCTTATAAATAGGAAAAAAATTTGTTGGAAAAGAGGTTAGAAAAAATCGGGGTTGAGAGAGTGAAAAACAAAGCAAAAAGAGAGCTAAAATTCGAAAAATCGGGATTATTTGGCTTGTCATTTTTTTGGAAATTCTGGTTTTAGCTTAGTGTTCTCGTTTTTCTGGGTTTCGTTCTTACATTGGTAGCCTCTTTTCGTTCTTTGTTTCGGTTATTTCAGGGCTAATTTTGCATCCTCAATTGTTTCTCAACCTCCTTGTTTGAAATTTGGTATTCAATTCTATCATTTTTTGTTTTTGTCCTTTGAATTTCTGGGCAGCCTTGCGTTTTGCTTTTGGTTTTCTAGGCAGCTATTGTAGCTGTTCTTCGTATTCTTCGTCTGCTGGGTTCGTCTTCTTTGTTCCCTGGGTAGATTGAAAGGGTTTTAAGGCTATTTTGAGGAACATTATTGTTGTTCGGTTGTAGAGAAATAGAAATAGAGTATCAAAACAAAAAAAAAAAAGTAGTGAGAAATCGTCATTTGGGGCTCGTCCACGCTAGGTTTTTTTTTGGGTTTTCTGGGTTCATTCTTGGTGTTCTTCGGGCGTTTTCCAGGTCAGCTCCTAGGTCTTGATCTTCCGTTTGATTCCGTGAGTTCATTAGCTTTAATTGATTTGTTTGTCTATGTGGTTCATGATTTGAGTCGTTGGTTTGCTTAATTGAATCTTTTATTTATCAAACAATTTGAAGAATTAGAGAGAGAATTTGAAGAACATGAAGAATAGGAGAGAGAAAGTGTCGTCAGAGCCGCTTGATCCATTTCTCTCCAATTTTCTTTGCCTGGGCCTATTTCTAGGCTTAAGCCCAGCGAATAATAAAAAAAAAAAAGGAAAGCCACGTGGTCTGGACTGACTTCAGTTCAACCCACCCCTCTCTGCCTTGAAAAAAATAAATGAGAAGGCTAGATTGATTTCAGTCAAGCCTTCTCCCAAAGAAAAATTAAGAGAGGCTGGAATCAGTCTAGCCTCTCCCAAAAAAAAAAAAAAAAAATTAAAAAAAATATAATAAAGAAAATAAAAAATGAAGAAACAGAAATTGGAAAATAAAAAAATGGGAAAGAAAATTTGAGTAAAAGAAAAAGAAGAAACGTCTGATTGTAATTTAAACTTTAGATTTTATGCATCTTTTTACATTTTATAGTTAATTTATATATTTAATTGCTTTTAATAATTTTTATTAATGTAATTGTAATTTTAAATTTTTGCATGTTTGTTATTTATATTTAATTTAGAATCTAATGTTTAAATTGCACGTAATTATTTAATCTAAGATAGTTGTAGTCTTTATTTATTTTATGCAATTTTTATTTATTTAGAATTTCTTACTTTAATTGGTCTTTATTTATCTTATGCAACTTTTTTTATTCATTTAGAATTTCGTATTTTAATTATTTTTAATTCATTTTGATAACCTTATTTTAGTTTTTTTAATAATTAGGCTTAATAAGTAATTAATAGTGGATGATTGTCAAGTCTCCTATTTTAGGGAATGATGACAATTTTTTCATAAAAAATAAAAAAATAAAAAAGATTTCTCAACGAAGTCTCCTATCCGATAGGAATTGTGGTTCGACAAAAAATTAATAAAAAATTAAAAATTCTTAACAAAGTCTCCTATTTGATAGAGACTTGTTGTTGTATAAAAAAAATGGAGTTCAACAAAATTGAAAAATAATTTTACACAAATAAAAGATTTAAGGAGATGAATTTAAGACTAAACTAGACGTAGTACCTTTCTTATAAAAGAACGTTTTTAGGTGATCGTTGTCTTCTTAAAGCGTAATCAACTCCTTGCCCTTGAATCTTTATACTAGTGCTATTTTAGGTTCCTAGTTCCTCTAATATTAGGTGGCGACTCCAAACACGGTAATAACTCGCATTGTAAAAAATCCTTGTAAATAAGATGCACATATTTGTAAACATATGAAAACCTAGAATTTTTGGGAGTCCGGTCCAAAGTCGCGTAGCGACAAAATAGCGACTCCGTTGGGGAATTAGAGTTAGGCCATAGGTTTAGTCCTTTTAGGTTTATCTCTTGTGTTTATTTTGCCAATTATTTTCCAAGTTTTTTTTTTTGTCATTTAATTTTGAGTTATTTATCTCTTGTATATATTTTAAATTATGCAATTTATTTTTCTTGTATTCATGTACATATTTTTTCTTAAAGCTGGGTTGTATGCCTTTTTTGAACTATTGCACACACCACGAGATAACCTACGAAGCTGCGGACTGGAGCTAAACCCTATTATGATTAGATCGAGAGATTCGAAGGCAAGCATGACGAAAGTCTACGATGCTCTTTCGGATTCTTGTTTGGACTAAAACTCACCCTATGCTTAGGAAACGATGGAATAACCTTCCCCTACCTCCTTGTGCCTAAGGTTAAGAGGTTGAATTACCCCATTGGTAATTTAGATAGTTCATAAACTTGAAAAGACTTTAGGATTAGACAAACATTTCCTAAATCTATAGAAAAACTAGATCTTATCTACTAGGGTTGACCTCATTAAGACATGAATCATTTTCAAATGATGTGTGCTCTACCCCTTGTTTTTGCGGGATATCATCAAACAAATCATGACGAGAGAATGCTATTGAGGGTTTCAAGGCCGAATCGGAATGGACCGGTTTGATGAGGAAGGTCTGTCTACCTCGACTCTTATTCAAAAAAAAAAAAAAAAAAAAAAGGAACAAAAAAAGACAAAAAAAAAAAAAAACCAAAAGGGGACCCTCGTAGAAAGAGTACTCCATTGAAGATGAGCTCATAACAAGATTCAACAATCGCATAGTTCTTATTGCCTCATGTGCGGTTCTAAAATTGTAAAGGGTAGAATAGAAATTCAATTTTTA